TAGGGGTATTACAGGTCGTTATAGTGGTGGTGATGGTGACGATAGCGGTAGTGGTGGCGGTGATGGTGACAGATCATAGAGGATATGCTTCGGTCGTGTGTTCTTGATTTCAAGGGCCACTGGGAGGATTGCCTACCACTTGTGGAGCTGTCATTCCTTGTCTAATAGAAACTCTTTTTATCAATTAATAAATATTTATTTATTAGTCTGGGGAGGGTCAGATGTACACAGCCTTACCTCCGCATAGAAAGATTGTTTCCAGTGTTGAACTCATGGATGGTGGTGGCAATGACAATGGTGATAGGCAATGGGGAAAAAAAAAAAAAAAAAAAGAATTTTAAGAAGAAAAAAAATTAGTCTAATTGAAGAAAGGAAGTTTAACTTCTCTTTTAAGAAAATTAAAGGAATCCAAAAAGTAAAGGAGAAATTTTTTAAAATTAAAAAGTTCAGGGGGCATTATATAGAAATTTTTTTTTATATAAATAAACAATCAAAAAATTTATCTTATATTTACGGACAGTAGAGTCAATTCAGGATGCACGTGCCCTTCCTAGACCTTAATTGCCTCACCTGATAGAGTTGTAAGATATAAGGAGAGAAAAGACAAAGAAAGCGTAATATAAGGAGGGAAGGTTCCGAAGGACATATGGATATTTTGTTTATTAAAATATGAAGTTGGAGCGTTAAAGGTGGTTTATGGAGCCCCTTTTTAAATTTAAATTCTCATATTGTGAAATTGTGAATGGTGGCAAAAGAAAAGTGACATGGTCTTAAACAGAGGAAGAGAATCAAAGAGGATGGTCAACGGTGAATAGCAGATGACTTCTCTCAGGCCATGTGTGAAAGAAGGCGTGAGTATGTGAGAAGAGAAAGGGCAGTTTCGTCATAGGGATTTTAAGTGAACATTCATTTCTCTGTGTTTATATAATTATATGATTATATCTATTTATGAGTAACGTTAATAAGTAAATCGAGACCGCTTCATTGAGTTAAAAATCTTTTGCCATCTTTTTTATAATATTTAATTATTTTAAATATTATTTAATAATTTAGTTGATCCAATATTCAATTTTTCGAACAAGTCTGTTCGTATACGAATTTCTTTTTTCCACTTTTATTTACCACTAAAGTAGTCTAAAGTGTTTGTTTGAAAGTTCTAAAGTCGTCTAAGTTAACTGTCAAAGTCCAAACGCCTTGAATGGTATATCTGTCCAATTGTAAGCAAATGACCCCTCTGACCTTGAGGGGGCATTCTTTAGCCCCTTTGGCTGTTTTTACTTCGTAGCCTTTGAGGGGCATTCTTTCTTTCAGAAGGTTTAAAAATAATAAAATAATAAAATAATAATAATAAATATAAATATAAATATAAATATAAATTGTAAGCAATGACGCAGAAGAAGGAGAAAAATGCCTACACTAATTTGGAATTTTGGACTATAGACCAAGGGAAAAGCCGATAAATTTAGTGGTATCTTTTCATCTTTCAAATTAGAATGTTATGTTGTGTTTGGTACGCATAAATGTAATAAAATACAAGTAAGAATGAAAAGGACTGAAATAATCATTTTCAATAAATTTGGTTCAATTATGAAATGGGTATGAATGGAATAATAATAATCATTTTAATATTTGGTTAGATCAATTTAAAATTAAAAATGAAATGAATTTTAAATTGAATTATCTTAAATACCCCTTAAATAAATTAAATTAGCAAAATAACATTTTTTAATATATTTTTTTTTTTTTGAAAGAAATGGTAGCTGTGGCTGATGACACTGACGATGGTGGTGGAGTTGAAAAGCAATAATAGTATAGGTAGTGGTAGTGAAAGACGGCAGCGGTGGTTTAAGTTTTCTTGAAAACATGTGAGTAAATTTTTTTTTTTTTACGATAATTTTAAAAAAAAAAAAAATTAAAATGTGTGATGTGGACTCAACAATCTTCCATGGACCCGAAAAAAAACAAAGGGTGTGATGTGGACTCAACAATCTACCATGGACCATAAATTATACGGAGTACCAAAGAAAAATCACTCATAGTGCATGCTACAAGGAGACATTTTTTTATTTATTATTTATTTATTTGGTGTCACTTTTAATATCTTCTTATTATGACCTTTCTCAATAACTCTATTAAAGAATATTTTTTATCTGATTTATGCGCTAAATGATGGAACCCACGACTTTAAGTCGCACCCCACTCGTGAGTCGTGACTTGAACTTCTCCTCCTCCCAATGTTTAGACTGATTACACTCCAATCAGTTCACGCTGGTTTAATTTTTTAGATGAATCAAAATCAAATTAGTTTTAATTGTTGTTGAAATATCGAAAATTTGAACCAAATCATATATGGCTTAGGTTGGTTTTGACTATTATAAAATCATGATCTTAAATACATTTTGGAATTGGACTTAGGTTGCTCGGGTTAGTCCCCCTAAGTCCAACTTTCATCACAAAATGGGATCAATTTGTACAATTCAATTTGATCCAATCGAATTGGCTAATTTTAATAATTTTTTGTATACTCCTAGTACAGTCAATCATAATTAAGGTAGGAATGTAAAAGAATCGATAGAATCATTAGGAACCAGAATCGGTGCATCGGTTCCGATTTTGGCTCTAAATTTTGGAATCGCTAGGAACGGTTCTGATTCCAAAACCGTACTAATAATTATATATACTTATTTTTTAATTATATAATTACTAATATATATGCTTATTGATGCTTGTTTTGCTATAAATATAACCCAATTTATTGCCTTAGTCAACATATTGCTAAAAATAATAAAAAATAAAAATAAATAAAGGGAACTGGAAACCAGAACTAGAACCAAATCGAAAATGAAACTGGAATTGTGGAATCGGTTCGATTCGGTTCTTGTTCCATGTCTAAACGGTTCCGATTCAAATTCCTAAGAACCTTTGATTTCGGTTCCGATTCTATTAGGAATCGTACTGAACCGAACAACACGCACTCCTAAATTGAGGTCCAGATGGGGTATGTGCCCCACTTCAACTTTTAAAAATTTGCATTTTTATATGTATAGTTCTTTAAAATTTTAAAATTGCCTCCCTCAAATTTTTTAAAATTACATTTTTGTATGTATAATTCTTTAAAATTTTATAATTGCCCATAGTTAATTTTTGTTTTTTTATTACATTATGTACCCCCCAACATAATACTTTAATTTGTGAAGTAGTGAACCTTAATTATTATGATTTTTTTTTAGCTAAAAGAAAATGAAAATAGAAAAGAAAATAACCTTTTGTTTTTCACGAAGAAGATAAGAAATATATATATATAGTTGAACCTTTCTTTTCATTACCTAAAACATCCTTTGACACGCCACTCGACAATGTTTTCAATGGACTGCCACTTTAACGAAAATAAATAGATAATAAATGAAAAGTCACTTTACCAGATAAGAGCATGCGCATCATAAGAAGTGAAGAGTCGTTTCATTAATTAAATAATAAATTAGGAGTGAACCTCTGGTTAACTTTAAATATATAAAAAAAGTGCTAATTCAACATTTTTCTACTTTTTATTTATTTATTTATTTATTTTTGAATTTATTTTTTGAAAATTTAAAACTGAATTAAATAAGTAATTCCGAAGTTTTAATAGTTTGTCACGTGTCTATCTAAAGCTTTAAATTTGAAAGAAAAAAAACAGAAGGATAAAACAACCCTTAACTTTTTATTTTTATTTTTTATATTTAAAATTAAAAAAAAATGATACAATGTTGATTTATTATTTTATACTTGCCTCAAGGTGCACACGGTTCATTTGTGAATTAAAACTAGTCCCATCACAACGATTCCAATGTAATTAAAAGCAAACGAAACTAATCCAAAATGTCCAATAGGGGCTTGGATTGGTTTAATTATAGAATTGAGCTTAATTACCTTAAAATATAATTTAATAATAATTAAGTTAGCTTAAATCAAATTTACTTATATCCAATTTTTATAAACAAAATAAAACTTCTTGTTCGAGGTGGAGAGTGCATTTCTAACTTTTAAAATCTAAAAATAAAATGGTAATAATGTAATATGTTGACAAGAGCTAGAATATTGTTTTATGAGTAGAAAATAACTCCGTTCATCTCACATAAAATGTCCTTTTTTCATAATTTAATTTTTTAAGGTGACTTTTAATGTGTTTTTTTTAATTATTATTATTATATTGAGAGTGAATGAATTATTGATTTACTCATAAAAGTACTTAATTGAAATAAGCTATATGTTTTTAATAAAATTGAATCAAATTGATGATTTAAACCCAAGTCATATAAAGTGTAAGCAAGAGCGAGAGCAAATTCATAAGTCAGAGTGAGAGAGTAGCATAATTAAGTCATAAGTAGTAAAAATTTGAATGAAAGCCCACGTGAAAGATAAAAACAAAAAAAATTGTATGACTTAGATTTAAACCGTATTATCATCAATATAATTGTTATGATATCATTGAATTACCCTAAAATGGATTAACAATTTGGGACTATATATATATATATATATATTTTTGAATGGTTTGTGTTTTTTTTTGGCCCCCTTTTTGAATGAATATATATATATATATATATATTTGACAAATAATATACATCCAAAAATATCATAGGCCACCAGAAGATAGACAAGGACATTTGTGAACGATAAATTAACAGTTTTGTTATATCCTTTGATTATTTATTTATTTATTTATTAAAAGTGGACTTCTATCATTACGCATAAAAAGACAAATATTGTCCAAAACTTCAAGTATTGGTGGACACCACATGTGATATAAGTAACTATTACGTGGACTTGCCATGTCAGCCGTAAGTCGAGATTCTATTGCCAAGTCAGCATCACACGCTTACTAGGTCCCACATGCTTTGAACCCCGCACACCATAGATCTTTACACCCCTTACTTATTTGGACGGTCAAGATTAATAAAATCCAGACGACACGTGTCCACCACGAGCCTGTCCCAAATATTTGGTCATTTCACTCCCACCAAGGGTCAACACCGACGACACTATATATCACTCCGCCCACTCAGACGGGACGAAAAAACCTATCTATCTAACGATGTCATACTCCGGCGGGTCTTGTCAGATTCCGGCCACCACCGAACCTTCACCCAAACCACCCGGAGATCCTCTCCAGCATCCTCCGGGAAGCGTCGGCGGCGGCGCAGACCCTAGTCTGCCGCTCCGCAACCTCTCTTCAGTCCGGGAGAGAATGGACTCTCTCCAACGCTTCCTCTCCGATTCGGTCACCAACAACACTCTGATCGGCAAGGACCAGATGGAGGTCGTCTCCGCCGAGATCGCCGCCGCCATCCATCAGGTCGTCGTGAATGGCGCCGCTCTCCTCGCGTGCTCTCAATCCCAGGAGTTCGCTCCGAAATCTGTCCCGATTCCAAAACCCAGTTCAACGATCGAGTCAATGAATCAGAAGAGTTCAACAAGCACGAACACAGATCTGAAGTGTTCGAGCAGTTTCGGGAGTGAATTTGCTGAGATTCGGATGAAGTCAACCAATCAACCAGCGGATCTGACGGTCGAAGCTATGGATGAAGATATGATCGGGAGTGAAGATTGGGAGATCATCGAGCTCGACGCAGTGGAGTTGCTAGCGGAGCACATTCACTTCTGCGACATATGTGGCAAGGGGTTCAAGCGCGACGCGAATCTGCGGATGCACATGAGAGCGCACGGGAACGAGTTCAAGACGCCGGCGGCGCTGGCCAAGCCGGAGAGGTCCGCCGCCGAGTCGCGACGGCGGAGGACGACGAGGTTTTCGTGCCCGTACCTGGGGTGTAACCGGAACAAATCGCACAAGAAGTTCAGGCCGTTGAAGTCCGCCATCTGCGTCAAGAATCACTTCAAGAGGAGTCACTGCCCCAAGATCTATTCGTGCAATGAATGCAACAAGAAGAGCTTCTCGGTGGTTGCGGATTTGAAGAGCCACTTGAAGCATTGTGGGAAGTCCAAGTGGAGGTGCTCTTGTGGGACTAGCTTCTCCCGGAAGGACAAGTTGTTTGGTCACATGGCGTTGTTCGAGGGTCATATGCCGGCGGTTGTGCCGGACGAGGAGGAGGAGAAGGCGGCAGCGGCGGCGGACGCCGCTGCCGCAGCCGCGGCCGCGGCCGCGGAGGACGAAGAGGGTGGAGTGAAGGGAATGGAATTGGGGGCGAATAGTATTGACAATGGGTTCTTTGAAGGACTGATTGAGGGTTTTGGTTCAATTGAGAACTACTTCTTACAAGATGAATTGGGATTCTCTAACGGTGGTGGTGGTGGTGGTGGTGGTGGTGGTGGTTTTGGTACTGATATGAATGAGTTCTATCAGTTTTGAAGCTGCCACCTTCATATGTAAGTATCTGCTGTAGTGTTATGTAGGGTATATATGTAATATATTCTTTCTATGCACTAATAAAATTTTGACTCTTGTTGTTGAGATTAGTATGTTCTTTTGTTCATCACATCTATTGTATTGGTTGCTTTTCTAATTCTCAATAAAGGGCTTATTTCATTTTGTTGCCTAAATTTGGTTCTTATGTTAAGATTACCGATTTGAGTTTTTATGATCTTGATTGTGTGCAAGAGAAATTCATTTTGGGGGTAAGAGATTTTAGGCTTTAATATGTGGATTAAATATTGATATGATCAATTTTGATCGTGAGGTATAGAAAGAGATTGGTTAAGATGAATCTTGGGAGTTGATAAAGGTTAATCTTAATGTGGAATAAAGATTGAAATAATTTATATGTTCAGTACAGAATTGGTAGTGATGTGATACCAAGAACAACACTTGTGGTTTGTTAGTTTGCACTTTGGAGATTAGAATAATGCGTAACTCTTTGTTTTTTTTTTTTTTTGTGGTGGGTTCAGTTGGAGATTAGAATTATGCATAACTTGTTCTTAGTGGGGATAAGGAGTTGGAAAAAAAATAAGAGCATTGTTTAGAGATTCTTTTCCTTTTTTATTTATTTTATTTCTTTCTCTTTCCCATGGAAGAATGAATGATGTTTTGGGCCCAGTTTTGTTGGAGAGAAGAAGGAAAAGAAAAGAAATGTGATGGATGGAAATGGAATATTGTATTTGGTATAAAATCTTAGAAGGAGAATAAAGGAAATGGAGGGATTTCGACTGATAGGCATGATGAATGTGTATTGCGATCCTCTAAAAAAAAGAAAAAAAATGAGACGAAATGGAAGGAAAGGGCTCTTTTGCCATCATTTTTATAAAAGACAATCAAAATATCAAATGCCATCATTTTTATAAAAGACAATCAAAATATCAAATGAGTGGGACATGTCTTTCTTGTGTTCAAATTGTCACTTTGAGTTGAATCATGTTTGGCATGATCTCTATATTTGTCTTACCACTCTTATATATTTTTCTTTTAAATGTGAAAGGGTATAATGATAAATTTTTTATCAGAATAGTTTACCTCTAATGTTAAAGGCTATCATTTCCTTTCTTAATTAATCAATCAGGTTAATACTATCATCTCCTTTCATTTCTTTTATTTTCTTCTCTTATAACTAATTTTAAAATTTCATCTTTTGAGAAATGATATATATTGCAGGAAGGATAGTGTTAACCTCTCGGAGCAATTCACGATGGTGCCAACAGTTTTAAGGCGCCAATTCGATGCTATCAAATACAACAATAGTGTTTTTGAACTCTTGAGCTGTAGATCACTATTACTTATCATATATATCGCAGGAAGGATAGTGTTAACCTCTCGGAGCAATTCACAATGGTGTCAACAGTTTTAAGGCGCCAACTCGGTGCTATCAAATACAACAATAGTGTTTTTGAACTCGTGAGCCGTAGATCACCATTACTTATCAAAAATAAATAAATAAATAAAGTTGTAGATCACCTTCCATTAACCCAAAAAGTTGTAGAGTTTTTGTTGAATGGTTTGTGGAAAAGCGAGTTTTGGCTTTTTTTTTTGGGAGAAAGTTAAAGGAAGTGTAATGGTAAAGCTGCAGTGGTCACCTTCAATGCATTATTTCTTATAAATTTGGTAATGGCCATGTTTACTTGCACACTCGTGTTTCATTATCATTCGAACGTGGAATAAACTATAAAGATTGCCACATTCGAATGTGGAATAAACAAAAAAAGAATTGCCTTTTGGAGAATTAATTTAATAAATTCAGAACAGAATTAGTAAGTAATACCAAGAACACCATTCGTAGTTGGTATGCACTTGGGAGATTAGAAATATGCACAACTTTTCTTGATATTGGACACTAGGATTATGCATAACATGTTCTTGGTGGGTTTGAGGAGTTGGGAAAGATAAGCATTTGTTTAGAGATTCTTGGAGATTATAATTATGCTTCTTTTTTATTTGGTGGGTTCAACTGGAGATTAGCATTATGCATAAGTTGTTCTTGGTGGGGGTCTAAGGTTGGGATAGATAAGCACTTGTTAAAGATATTTTTTTTCGTTTTTTTAGTTCTTGGCGCAATGATAAAGTTGCTTTACTGTGATATGAAGATCACGAGTTCAAAATAAAGAAACAACCTCTCTGCATGCGGAGGTCAGGTTCTTTCCTTTTTTAGTTTAATGAGAAATGATGTTTTAGCTGTAAGACAAATGGCGAGTCTTGGTACAACGATAAAGTTGCTCTATTGTGATATGGATGCCACTGGTTCGAAATAAAAAAACAACATTTCTACATGCGAATGTAAGATTGCGTACATCTGATCTTCCCACACCCTGCAATGACTGAAACCTCGTGCACTAAATTTGCCCTTTATCCTTTTAGGGATTGAAGATTTGTACAAATTTCACAAATAGTCACATTTATTCTTTAAGTACATGTATGTTCAGTGTTAACTTTTAGATCACCTTCAATTAACCTAAATATTTGATGGCCAATGGTTTGAGGAGAAATGCAAGTTGTTTGCCTCTTGGGGAAAAGTTAAAGGTGGCACAATTCCATTTTGGAAGGAAGTGTCATGCTAAAGCTGCATTGGCACCTTCAATGCATCTTCTTATAAAATAATACTGTAATGTAATGCATCTCAATGGAAGAAGAAGTCATGATGAGGTTGCATCTTGTGCAGGTTCTAACCCAATCTGAACCACCAGTGGACAACCTTCTTGATCTTGAGGAATACAGATGGGCTCCTAATAAACAATTCTAACCCTCATGTGGTTGGTTTGGCTAGGGTTGAGGACTCACGCATCAGTTGACCTGACTACGTCTCAGTTTGACATTAATGTATATTTTTAAATATTTATATGACTAAAATTTCAAATAAATATTTATATCAAACAAATGTAAGAATATGGTTATGTTTAAGAAACAGATTTAAAAAGCTACCATATATTTAAAGGGCTAGTCCCTCTGGGGACACTGGAGAAAATTGGAACATTCCATACAATTGGAATTACCCAAAAATAACTTTGAAAAGATGTAACTTGATATTATTAATATTTTTAAGTAAGTAAAATATTTAAGATATATTAACATATTTATATTGTTTATATGGTACATTTGTGAGATTTGGTTGTATTTCTATTTTGTTGTATTCTATAGGATGTGCTCATATGTATGAGCATTCCAATACGTTCGTTAAGATGAGTATGAGATGGGATTTTCATTCACTATGGTGCCTGGCAGAGACTCCAAGGTGGTTTGGAATAAACAAATCTAACCCTAACTGTGGTTGGTTCGGCTTGGATTGAGATATCAGTTGACCTAATTATACTTCAATTTGACAAAAATGTTTAAGATATTTATATGACGCAGATGTGCCGTGTATAGAATAAGGATTCCCTCTTGCACAGAGGGAAGGCACACGCGAAGCTCACTGCGCGCCCATGTTGATGCTTCGTGCAACCCTTTGAATTTCGGATTGCACCGGCATCATTTTACTGCACAATCTGAATTTTATAATATAATTATGTTAATAAATAGTATCACATAGTTAAACTAGGTCACTTTAAAATGTTTTAAGTAAAATATTTTACTCAAAAAAAAAAAAATGATAACTTTTAAAGTTTTGGTAGTTAAGAATGATAATATATACTAACATAATTATATTATATATGTTACGTTTGTCAGATTTTCTTCAATTTATATTTTATTGTATTTTATAGGAAACAATTATATGTATGATCTACATACAAGTAAATGGTTGTTAGAAATGTAAATTTGTGCTAATGGCGATGTCTTGTACTCTTCTAGACCCTGAGTTTCATTCACATTTGAATGGGGAATAAAGATAGCCTTTTGGTTTGGAGAATTATTTTATACATATATATTCTGAACATAATTGGCTATCTCCATTGGTAATTAAGGGAATCTCGGGTTCGTGAGGCGAATCTGGACTTTAATGATGTACGTGATTTGTAGGTGAATGTGTCGTGTCTTTATCAAATACATAGATACATATTTGACACTTCATGATTGTGTCTATATTTTATGTCGTTTAGGCGTTTAAGACGTGTCAGCCAAGTATCCAACATGATAAAAATATGTCGATTAGACATTTAAGACGTGTTAGCCAAGATTCCAACATGATAAAAATTACTTTTAAAATATAGACACGGTCATGAAGTGTCAGATATGTATCTATGTATTTGATAAAGACACAACACATTCACCGGCAAATCACATACATCATTAAAGTCCACATTTGGTACACTTGACCAAGACATCTTCGTCTTGTATAAAATAAACACTTGACACGACAAACCTAGAAACACATGAGTAACAAACGTCAAAGTGTCCAATTTCTTATAAGCATTTATTTACAGATTACCACAAACTTCCTTTTCCTATTAAATCTTCCACTAACTTTTACCCTAAGAAATATGGATATTTCTAAGAAGGTGTCGTATTTGTGTCGGACATTAACACTTTGTGGATACTATGGACTTGACACTCCATGTATGTGTCCATAATTTAAAAATAATTTTGATTATGTTGGTGACACTTGATTATATATCTTGGACACTTGATCAACACATTTTAGATATTTGGTCAACAAATTTGACACTTCACAATCATATCTTATATCATCGGTCTTATGTAAAACAAACACATGATAGTCCAAAAAAAAAAAACATAATGAACTTACATTAAAGTGTTCAATTTCTTGTCATTTTTTTTATTTTTATTTTTATTTTTATTTTTTTTATTTTAATTTTAAAATTAAACACATGCCACATTATGTAATGAATAAAACATAACTATTATAATAATAAGATCAAAGAATAATATTATATATATAATTTAATATATTCGTTTTGATATTCAAATAGCTTCATCTCCCAACTGATGTGACTCTAATGTAAAAATTATAAATTAATTAAAATTTTGTAATTATCTTTTTCAATAGATATATAAATTAAAACTTATATTATATTAATCATGTCCTTGTTATACTTGTTAAAAAACTTAACATGTCAAAACACATCTGTATCATATTTATATCGCTATATTGGTGGGTCGTATGCTTCTTAGTTTCTCAGTTTTCACATTGTGCATTCATGTTTTCTCATTGAAATAAAAT